ATTGCATTAAGTTTATTGCCACGAGCCACGAGCAGACGACTTCGTTCAGGTACAAGACATTGACTATTTATGCTGTTTTATCTCATTGGTAAGTTAGAACTCGAATGTACCAGTAAATGTCTCGGTAGAAAGTAAGACACTCGATTAACACAACGAATTTTGTGATTTAATTTTTATGTGATGCAAATTTTTTAAATCTTACCAATATTATAAACGCGAATGTTTACATGGATGAATTGATTGATGTTTGAAGGTACCTCCGCAAAGGTTTAACGGATCTTAAAGAAATTTGGCATAGACGTAGACCATAGTCTGGAAGAACACATAGGCTACTCACTAAGTTTTTTATTCGCGAGCGACAGCTTATAAAATATAAGTGAAAAATTCGAATCAAACAATTTTATAAGTACTTAACAAAATTGCAAACATCGCAGACGTTATCTGCGAACATTTATTGTGTACTTTAGAACCAGGGTGATAATAAATAATAATGAAAAATAAAATTATATATTTATAACGAGAAAGACGTATGACTTGATATACCTCAATCACAGTGGAATAGTTCTCATCGTCATATTGTATTCATCGAGCACATTATCGAAAGTAACAAGGAAACGAGATCGTTATGTTTTGCAAACAAAACGTAAACTCGCCTGTTATGATATAACAAGTCGATTGCGAGACTTGAGACTGAAAATATTGACATATTTTCGTCTTGTCTCACTTCTACCTTCACTTTTACACTCGTATGAGTAATACGTAAACAAAGAGATGACTTAAATCATATTTTATGTGATGTTTTTGTCGTTAGATGCATATTTTACTGCCGCAAAGACAGATGGAATAAATTGCTTTCTGTAAAAAATAAATGACACGTAATGAGGCACCGATCTGCGGTATAGGAGCGTCTCGTCTGCGAAACGTGCTTTCGTAATTTATCTACGGGAAGCTATTTTGATAGCAATCATATGGCAATGGGATATAAGTAGTAAAGTCACGCGAAAAAGTTACGGCCGGTTAAGCGTTATACTTATCGCTGATTATGTAAAAATGTTGTTCTTGTTTTAGATGCGGCGTATTGCTGAATTCAAACGAGACAATGCGAGCCTACTAAATGGTCTGGTGCCTGAACACGAGAAAGAAGCCTTCCTTGAACATAAAGTCGTGAATGTAATGAAGGGACGCGACCAAAAAGGAAGGAGGTTGCTGATTGTTAACGTCGGAGGTAAGGATATTGCCGGCCGGCCTTCCGTTTGATTGCGATTGTTTTGATGTCCTTGCATTGTTTATAATAACTTGAATTATTTGGGATCTTAATTCCTATAACTTATTTATAAAACGAACATACAAAAAAAATAATTTAAAGTTAAAGCTACGCTTACTAAGAACATTTTGCAAGAAATAAAACCGATTTTCTAACAAATCTTAAATTTATTTTCAATAACTAGTAAACTCTTTTATTTCTAAATTATTTTTATTTGTTGCTAACGTAATGTTAATGACTGTGTTTAGCAATTAGCACAAGTTAACGATTCAAGTCAATGATTACGCGCCTTGCGTCCATTGTGTAATATTCAACGGCGGCGACTGGTGACGAACAACTGTTGCCGTTTAATTTTAACTTAAGTTATTTGTAAATATATCCACGACAACGGTTTCCTTTGACAGGTTGTTTTGATAAACAAGACCTTAATACAATAACGATAATTGTAGCAATATATTTATTCAATACAACGCAATGTATGAGGAGAACATTCTTAAATATTAATATTTATGTTGGGTCCATAAAGAAGAAAGTATACTCTGATTACTTTGATATAAGGTAATCCCAGCCCTGTGATATTAAGGGACTCACTATTTTCTCATCATATATTTTTTTTATTTCGGACTGGGGAGAGAGAGGGATATTAAGAAAGCAACAAGCTTATTCCACGGAGAAGACTTCATATGAGGTTTCATTCACTAAAATGTCTTAAGTGGACATGCCCTATTCCGACGGATAGTTTTCTATTTCTGGAGTTTCATCCAACTTGTGCTATCCGTTATCTTTATGCCTTCGCTGAAGTTAGTATGTTAACCACTGCAAATGTTGAATTTTTAGGTTCATGGAACCCAAAGAAAGTGAATGCGGACCAGCTGTTCAGATTGTTCTACCTGATCCATTTGGCCGCTATGCTGGAGCCGGAGTCCCAGGTCAGGGGGACGGTGGTCTTGATGGACTTCTACAATATGGGCTGGTCACAGGTAAGATTTACTGTTTAACTAATTATATCGATAATAATAAGGCTTCATATTGCAAAATATTTTTTTTTCATGTAAATGACCATTCATATTCATATTTATGGAAATCTTACTAATATTATGAATGCGAATGTTTGTATGGATGGATGTTTGTTAGATAGTACCTCCAGAACGGCGGCATGGATCTCGCTGAAATTTGGCATTGATGAAGAACATAGTTTGGAAGAACACATAGGTTAATAATTAAGTTATTTTTTAATTTCGCGCGGACGAAGTCGCGGGCGTTTACCCTATGTGTAGAAGGGGACAGAAGACGTAAAAATAAGACTTCGCAATCCCCTTAAAATAACTAGACTCTCTTGTATGTAGTTCGAAAACAATGATGTAAAGAATAAAAAATTCAGAGATAACTTTGAAACATGTAGAGTTTCATACAAGGTCAATTCGTCAGTACGGAATGAATTAATGTAAATAATAGATTAACGTCACTGACCTTTGTTTGTGTTAATTGATTGTATAGAGCTATGCGTGTTGCAATGGAGCAGCACTTTTCGTCACAATATAACCTTTTTTTTCCTAAAGTATATGACAAAATCATTGTAAAATTATAAGAATACAATAGATTGAGATTCAGTAAGCTCTATCTGCCGCGCAAGTCACCGTTCACGCGGAATTAAAAAAACAAAATAAATACCCTATGTGTTCTCTTAGACTATGTTCTACATCTATGCCAAATTTCATCCAGATCCGTTGAGCCCAATCAATCAAAGAACAATCCAGACATTCGCATTTATAATATTTACTAGTAAAATATACTATTGCTATTCGTTACCTAGTAGGGGTTCAAGGTGTTAAGACAGTAACTAAGCAAGAAACTCAGAAAAAATTATGGAAATTACTATTTTTTCTAAGTTAACGTTTATCGCGTGTACGTTGCAACTGATTTTTTTTTTATCAAAAAGATCTCATTTTAAATCATTGTTTTCACGCTAGCAATAATTTTCTACGCCTTAAACATTTTGAAACAAATTGTTTTCTCAATATCTCTTACTAAACGCTATTTTAAAACAGTTTAGGAAATAAAAGTTTGGTGTATAGGTTATTTTCTTACTACATACGTATTATTAGAAATTTTAATGTTTCTGCTCATTTCACTAACATATAAAATCGCTCTTGTTTCTGAAACACTTGCAAAATGTTATTACAATTTCCTTGTTAATCAGAAAGTCTTGGTTAGTTCCAAAAACATACTCTTACAATAATGTCCATTTTTTTTTAATTTCATGACCTGGTAACATAGATCTTTAGGTCAACAATAAGGAATAATAATGTAAATGCACGTAGAATATAATAAGAAAGGTAAAATTATAAAATATAACTTAAACACCAATCTTAAATCAGCCTACTGCTCTTATTTAGAATAGCTGTCGTCCGCGACTCAGTTCGCCCGGAATTAAAAATAAAACTTAATAAGTAGACTATGGGTTCATACTATGTTCTACATCTATGTCAAATTTCAGAGACATTCTTTAAGTCGTTTTGGAGATACTTTCTAACATCTATTCATCTAAAATTTCGCATTTATAATATTAGTAAGATCACCTGGTATAATTTTACGGCCATAGACCGAAGGAGTTGAGTAGATTTTGTAGTAGGTTTAAAAAAAAGGTGCTATTTACTTGAATTTATAAAAAAAGTAAATGTCTATGCATGTGTATTCTGTGCAAAGCACTTTCACTGCGCATGCGCTTTAGCAACGTCGATTTCAATACGATTGTAGTAACAATACAAAATTTTCCGTGTGTGGCGCTATGCATATATTTATTACGTATGTGTACACTGCACGTGTAACACATTAGTTAATTTATTATATTTAATATAATAAAAAAATCACCATTTGCCTGTATGTTTTATTAAAATCTTTTTGTGTTAAATTATTTCTTTTGGAATGTATAAAGTGCGTTTATTTCAATTGGCAACTGTCCCAAATGTTTTTTTTTCGTAACCCGCCTTGACATCTAAAATACGTTGCATGAATACGGTAATGCATTCGTTTAAAACGCATTTGCTAATAAAAAAAATCTTTGCAACAAAATATTATAATTGGTTGAAATTTGAAATTAATTTGATTGCACTTTATCACATATGTATAAGATTTACGGTTTGATAGAAGTTTCTTACAATGTTTTTAATTTACATAGTAAGTTAAGTGTTTAATCAATTAATACATTTTCAAGTTTACTTAGTACTAAATATGTATCTGTAAATCAATACAGAACACTGTACTTTCAATAAGTTAACTCGGCGGAATTAGACAAAGTGCAATCGCTACAAAGCGATTAAATAACGAACTCCAAAAATGTAAAGAACTAACTCTTGATAAGTCACGTGATTGTCGCGCGACGGATCGATACATTTTTGAAGTTCGTTTTGGAATCGCTTCGTAACGAATGCACTATGTCGAACCTCGCTGATCCCATTTAAGAAATAAATACTATATATAGAATATAAATAAAGATCATTTAGGACCCTATTTGAGGTATTGCAAGTATTGCTTAAGTTTGGTTTTATTTCTTTCTTGTTAACGCCAATACATCCATTGTTGTAGACGATTACTACAATGTGTACATTAAAAGTAATGACTCATACCTATCCTTAACAAAGAATTTAAGTACGTTTTGTCGACACTGCGCCTGCGCAGTCGTGTTTTTATAACAAAGATGCACAAAGTCTGTTTGTCCGTTTCTTCCATTGTTTTATATTATCTTTGTTCTACGTAGTTACGAAATTTTTTAATTAGTCACATATGTTTTATTTGTGGTATGTGAAATGCGAACAGGATTTTTGATATGAAATAACCCTGAATTAATAAATAGATTAGTATAATATATAGATAATAAATATCGTACGTTATCTAATTGCTATGTTAGTTATTTTCCGATATAATGTTTTACGTTGTATTAATGTTGCAATAATAAAGTCAAAGTCATTGCTAAATGATTTGACCTTTTCGTTTATCGTGGGTTTCTGACACCAAAATCTCTGTATAAAATCATCATCCATGTTCCTCACCAATTTAGCAAAACAGAGATAAGAATATGTTTTCAACGGGGATTACGGTCTCAGAAACAAAACAATGTCGAGTAAATTAGTTAATTCCAAACACGTTTAGCTCATCGATCTTTTTTGTTTGATCGCTATCAGTGAATGTTCATTTCTTAACATGTTGTAACAGATATAACGACATGTTTTTATACATGGAGATTGTTGGAAAAGGAAAGTTAATTTATTATGTCAATGTACAATATCGTACAATATTGTACAACATCGTATTAAATTTTTAAAGTAAGATTCCCTATTCCAAGTGTCTGTAGAACACAGGAGACTAAAAACAATGCTTGTTTTAAAAACTAGTTACTTAAATTTCCATACATATAAAGTAATTTACATATTTATGTGTGTTACCATCTGCGCAGGAAAATATTGCATTGACAAAAGAATATCCTGAGGACTTTAATAAAATTCAAGACATGTGTGTCGTCCGAGTTCGTGATTGATTTTCATTGTTAACAATATTCTTATTAATAGTGTTCACAATAAAAGTTTTCTACTTTTACTCCATTTTAATTCTAAGCTACAAATAAAGTACATAATCGCAGGTCGATCGGTCGATTTTTATTGTAGTAGAGAAAATATTATGTTGTTTCTAGACTTTTTTGTATACATATACAATAAATATTTTAATAATAAAAGTAACAAATAGGTACGCGACGTATAGTTTTATAATATAAAAATTATCCCACGGAAACTATAAGAATCCATACAATTGAATTATGATAGATTAACATCCTCTTAACCTTTTGAGTGCTGCTAATGCGGAATTTTATATTTCCGGTACATTTTCCTCCCTTAACCCTCGCATGCGATTATGATAACCTCTTAAAGTTATAAACAGTGTTGTTGTTCCGATATGGAGGAAAATATATCCCAATAAAGGTTTCTCGCTCAAGGGCCATCACGTCCGAGGTTATTGGAATGATTCTTATGCACAGAAGTGTTTATATCTTCGCTTATTTGGCAGATAAATATCGAAATGCAAATAGGTCACTTAGAGGGTATATTGCAATTACGTAAATGATTATCTTTAAAGATTAACTGCAAGGAAAAACGACTACTTAGAGATAAAAGTGAATATTCTTAGGTATTCAATTTGCACCTATATCAGGGTATCCCAAAAGCCTTGTAGTCAATGTATCATTCAAGAACACAATGTCAAATATGACGAGGATGAATTATATTAATTTTTATTATCTTGCTAATCGTTTTAACTATGCGTTTGAAATATCGCTTAAGTGTTATCCGTATGTCAATATTTTAGTTAAATATCCGTTTCAGTATATACGTGTATTTTAATGGGAAGTAGGTTTACACTTCGTAAGGACGTTAGTACATATAGGCGTGGAATAAATACATAAGTACTAACTTTAGATGCGGGCAAGTTCGAATCTTAATTCTTATGTTTATTTAAAGGGTCACCTTCACTATTTAAAACAATTGAGTTATGTTAATAAAATAGTCCAATTGTCGAATTTACCCTTGTTTTTTTTTTCATTTTAATGAATTCCATTAAAAAAATAATGAATGTATTAAGGAAATTTATAATATGGCATATATTATTTAACACTTCAACTGATTTGGTACAGATAATAAAGTTCTCTTAATATTATTGAAATATTTAAATAATCTTATGACCCGTATATTAAGTTATTAATATTTTGCAAATTTAATAACGCGAATTTACATAGCACAACATCCGTAAGAAATTATTGCGTTGTAAATACCTGATATACCTGTTTCCCGTAGTAGGTCGATAACCGCATTCAAAGTGTTAAGATTACATGAAAAATATTATAAATATATTCAATTTATAGCTAGTTTTAACCGTAGTGTATTTAAATAAAAATAAAAAGAAAAGAGTATTCTTGTTAATTATGGGTGATTTTCATTTATTTCACATACCAGTCTTCTTTTATTTAATTATTAAGAAAAAGAAAAACTCCAAAAATATATTCTCTTTTCAGACAATGGGTCTGACGCCTTCCTTCTCGAAACGTCTTTTGACCTTCATCCAGGACGCGATGCCGCTTAGGCTGAAGGAGGTGCACTTCGTCAAGCAACCAAGGATCTTTGATGTCGTGTGGAGAATGTTCAAGCCCTTCATCAGGGACAAGCTCAGGAATAGAGTAAGTTTTAAGAACTCTCCCTTTACTTTTTCTCTCTACTCATTCTTTAGTCTTAGTTTAATTGTCATTAAAATGTATAGTTATTTAATATTTAATCTCGAATCTTTCAGATCTTCTTCCATGGCTCGGATATGTCGTCGCTACACAAGCACTTGTCGCCGAGCCACCTACCTGCAGACTACGAGGGCCAGCTGCCAGCCATAGACTACTCTGGCGCAGAGTGGTACCCCGTCATCCAGCACGTCATGCCACACATAGACAATTGGAACACATACGGTTTCGTCAAGAAACCATAGACTATAAATAATTTTCTTTTTAATTTGCAGGTGCTAAGGTCTGCAGTTATTTTGTATGCACAACTTTATTTTAATGAGTTGGTTTATCGTCTTCTTTTTTAATTTTATGGCAAGTCGCAAAACAGAAATAGCAATTTGATTATCAATAACTATAAATTTCGTCTAGTATCTAGACAGGTTTCAATTCTTCTGTGTACTAAGTGAAAATATATTATAAAACGTAATAGTTCCTAATGGTTACAACAACTGGATTTTGTTACAATGTTAATGATTATTTTATAAATAACATTTACAATATATTTCATTATTCTAATGCGAACAACCAAAAATTTAGGTATTGATAACGTAGCCTTAAAATATTTTTATCCCATTCAAATGATAATGATAACATCATTAAAATGATGAAAATGACTCCATTATAATTATAATGATGATTCCATTAAAATTTGTAACTCTTCTTGAATCTTAGGAGTATTTCATGACATGCTTGTATTTGTTTAGATAAATATATATTTTTGGGTATATTTATTTTTTATTACGTAGATTAGTTTTTTTTTATATTTGAATATGTAGTGATGCGATTGAAAAGACATCGAGGCTGTGAATGTGATAGTGCTGTGCCACTTCAACGATATTTCACCAAAACATAGATTATTAAGATATTTTCGATTTCATTTAATTACTATGCATTTCTAAATTGATAATAGTTCCTCAGTCTATTTTATATGGTTCTAGCATGTTGTTTATAGAAGTAAATTTTAAAGTAAACATAAATATATCTATAGAGTAGATTTTAAGACAAAAATTAGGGTCCAATCATTATTGTTAGAATGTATGTTTGATGAATTTAAATAAATGTAAATTATAATAGCTTCGGGTATATCAAACTCCTCGGAGGAATAAGTAAGAAATATGTCTACGATTTTTAAAATGATTAATTTGTGAATATACACAAAATGAAATTGCTCAAAATTTTTATATTAAATTTATATGACAGAACTTTGTGTTTTATTTATTCACTAGCTGTCGCCCGCGACTTCGTCCGCGCGTGATTAAAAAAACTAAATGTGTAGTCTATGTGTTTTTCCAGATTATGTTTTATATCTCTTCAATATTTCATCAAAATCCGTCGAGCCGCACTAGAGATACTTTCAAAAAAACATCCATCCATCCATCTAAACATTGGCATTTATAATATTAGTAAGATGTGAAAATAAAGACCATACCTGTATTCATTTTTTGATCTATAAAAAATGAGAATGGAAATAATTTTTAATCACTTACATTGGACATTAGAGTCCTTTAGCAACTTTGATATAAAAACCCTCCTACTGTCGTCGCGCTGCTGCTAAATTTAGAAAGATAAAATCAAAATAGCCTATGTTGTTTTAGGAAAATAAATCATTCAAACGATGTAAGAATTTTTAAAATCGTTTATTTCTTACAGAGTTTATCTACAAAACTAACAAACGATACGAGCCACTTTAAATTTTTAGCATAGGTTTATTCAAGCGCCTGTCAAAATTGTAACATCGCTTTTAAAATTTATTGCTGCTAATTTATTGATGTTTGATTTTTACACAGTAAGTACTGTGTAATTCAAATAAATTAAACTGAACTTTTACTTTTTTCTTTTCTATTGTAAAAATTATAGATTATATGTCAGCGGGATCATTTGCCGTCTAGAATATTTGCAAATGAGTTCTCGGTTTGCAGATCGTCTTGATTGTCCTTAATTGTTTCATGTCTGCGTCTTGTCGATGTTAAATTATATAACAATATAGTACATTACATGATATGTAGATTCATATGTAAATTAAACAAAGATCTTCCGTAATTTTTAGACTATGATATTTCTACATAACATAAGAACAATTGCGGCAATCGTCTTCGCAATTCTGCCGAAATCAGTTAGACATTTTTAATTTCTTGACCCATACGACTTATTTCGATTATATTTTTTGCCAACAGTGAATCAGACATTGGTGGATCGTTGACCGATTGTGTTGGACGTTGACAACTTGAGAAAATATCAAAACCAAGAAACAAAATTGTTAAATTATATAGTCATTTGTTTTATAAAAACAAGAGAATTTATTATATCTATATTTTTAATCGTAATTGAAATAATAATTAAAGATGCTTACTAATAGATGATTGCAAATAAGATGTATGTTAATCAGTACGTCTTTACCTACCTCAATAAAATACGCACTTGTTTTCTTATCTCGTCTGCCTCGAGGGTTTATAGCTAAAACTAGCTGTCGACCGCGACTCCGTCCGTATTAATAAGTAGTAAAAATAACTTAGTAAGTAGTAGCCTATATATTCTTCCAGACTATTTAAACATTCTGGAGATACCTTCTAAGAAACATCCAAACTTTCGCCTTTATAATATTAGTGAGGTAGTAAGATATTTTATCTAGGTTACAACACGAATGATGACATTTATAAATTACTGTATCATAACCCATTGGTGTTTCCAAGTGAGAGGTATGAAGTGGTAGCAATGGGAGTGGTGGCGAGCGGCAAGTCGCGACCGTTATGTTGCGCAGAGGCTTACGCCAGTCCGACTTGAGATCACTCGCGCGCATCTCATCTGCGAAACAAAAAAAAACGAATTATTTAATTATTAATAATACTATAAAATTAATCTATTAAAATTTATTAAATACATAAAATAATATATTCTATTTATGTTTATTATAAGATATTAACATTTATCAGCATAAATTGATATAATAATCAATGTGTTATGTTTGTTATCGCGATTTATTTGCATTATAAGACGATTCGTTGTTAATGTTATACAATAATTTAGTGTTCAACCTAGTTAAGAATTAAGTGAAGGGTTTTGTATGGTGTAACTCCAACGGATGCTGGCTTTAAGACATTCGCCCTCATTTCTCTGTCTGTCGTAACACGGCGTTTGCTGAGACGTTTAAAAAACGGAGGTGTCTCAATAAATAAAGAGATAACAATGGAGCTGCTATATGATGCAGATGGTACACCTTTTGTTATGTGGGGCGACAATGTGATACGGTTAGAGAGAATGCCGGTAACAGAAAAGGAATATGTAGAAAAAGCTGAAAAAGAATTGAGAGAGACGCCCGAGATCGTTGAAAAGGCTGTTGCAGAATTAAGAGAAATGTTAAAAAGTGAGTATATTATTGTATCGTAATTAAACCAACACATAAATTAACTAGTAAATTACCGTTTTAATTATAGTATGGTATTATCAATAAGGTCTATTATAGAATTTATGAATATGTGCATTTGTAATCATATTTATATAGATTAAAAAAATAATAAATACTTTATTAATTTTGAGTAAACATTGGACTTGGTTCTAAATAATATTAGTTACTGCGAAATATAGAAATAACAACGAAGTGTTTGAAGAGCGACGATTATCTCGACAACTCATTGCTGAAATACAAAAAAGACATGTTATTTTATAATTCCTTTTATTATCTTACTAATATTATAAATGCAAATGTTTAGATATATGCACAGATGGATGTATGTTTGTTTGAAGATATCAATAGATAGCCGCGATCTCGCAACAATTTGGCATAGATGTAGAATACAGCCTGGAAGAACAGATACGCTACTAATTAAGATTTCTTTAATTCCGCGTGAACGGAGTCGCGGGCGAGAGCTAGTCTAGCCACCTTTTACCGCGTTCTTAATATTTTGTATTTAATTTATTCTCCTTTGTGTGTGTGTGTGTGTGTGTGTGTGTGTGTGTGTGTGTGGCAATAAACGTGTAATCTATTCTATTTTTTTTATTCTAATATCTTTATGGGATAATTATTTAAAAACAGGAATGAATAGAATGAGGAAATAGAAATGGAAAAGGTCAACAAAAAAATATCTCTGACAACAAAGAAACATCTCAGAACAAAGTACATATGTGCGTGAACACATCTTTTTAATATTATTCTGACTTTGGTCAATATTGGTTATGGTCACGCAACTGTGTTCTTAAAGTAGGTCAATAAGTATAAATCATATATTAGAATTGAGAGCGTCGGTGGCTCAGTGGTCAAGCACTTGACTTGCAATCTGCAGGTCCTGGGTTCGAATCCCGCCATGTACCAATGTGTTTTTCGATTTCCGATTTACATATGTACATTTATCCGACGTTCTTACGGTGAAGGAAAACATCGTGATGCAACCTGCACATATCTGAGAAGTTATTCAAAGATATGTGTGAAGTCAATCAGTCCGCACTTGGCCAGCGTGGTTGACTATGGCCTAATCACCCTTAACTTAGGGTAGGCTCCGAGCTTCTCGGTGGGGACGTATAGTGGGCTGATGATGATGTTATATTAGAATTCAGTTTTAAAAATATTAATTTGACCTGATAGTATGTTAGACTGTTATAAAGAAAGACGATTAAAAAACAATTTCCTTTATTTAAGTCTTTTTAGATCATGTGTAACGTTATTATATATTCATGCAAATGTCTGCGGGTTACAAAAACCATAATTAAATTTATCTTTTTATACAAAAACTATTGTTTACTTTTGATAATAAACACAATAGATAATTAAAGTGAATGTTACTTTAATTACGTTATTATTAGTTCAGTTTATCTGTTTATACGTCTTATTTGTACAAAACATGTACAGTCAGCTGCAAAAATACCGGTGCAGACAAGATATCCAGATATATAGGAACTAAAAATCTTTCTAGCATACTCGTAAATGCGAATGTTTAGATGCATGGATGGATGTTTGTTTGATTGTATCTTCTGAACGGCTGTATGGATTTTGATCAAATTTGGCACACATGTAGTACATAGTCTGGAAGAATACAAAGGCTACTAATTAAGTTTTTTTTTAATTCGACACGGACGGAGTCGCGGGCAACAGCTATCAATTATATAAGTATGTACAGAATCAGTCGATCAGTCTGCAATTGATGCACGGCACAGGAAGCATTTTTCATTAGGCCGAATAATTGGTAGGCCGATTCTGAACTTGTTAGTCAAAATTTATAAGTATTTAAAAATTTTAAAATATTTTATTTTTCAGAAGACACCTCGCTCTTCGTACCGCTTCAAGATGATAACTATTTGATGAAATTCCTAAGACCATCAAAGTTTTATCCAGAAAGTGCTTTCAAAAGAGTAAGTATAATATTTAATATACTATGACATGGACAATTATATGAACTGTTCTATATCTGTTACGGTTGATTTAAACCGGTCCTATGCCTTAAGGCTTAAGCGTATGTAACTGGAAAATATGATGCCATGACGTATAATACTAAGTTTCAATTCGTTTTTCCTCGTTCATAGGAAAGAAAATAATATTCCAAGAAATTCCCATCCATTTTATAATATAATTAAAACAATAATCAAGATCGCTGACGCCATCTAAGGTACTCTTACGAAATACATTTGATTTTTTTGTATATTTTTTTTTTGTAGAATTATGCGTTAAAAATATATCTTTAATAAGAATAATAAGTACTTTTTTTAGGCAATCTATATTTAACGTCTCTCCGCTCCTTGAAACGTTGTTTTTAGAGATATAAAGTTAAGGACTTTTTTTTAGATACAAGCGTACTACAAATTTAGGCAGTCGCATGAAAGCTATTGTTCCAACCTGGTGCCAAGTGCAGTGAAGCCTGCTTTCGACCACTCTATCATATCAATTCTGGCGCCTAGAGATCAGCATGGACGACGCATCATGCTTGTGGAATCCGGAGGTAAATATAAAAAACGAATTTATAAAAATAATGCATAGGATTAATAATAATCACGTAATCTCGAGAATTGGGTGTACAAAAACGAATATCAAGCTCTTTATTTCTTAAGCGTAAATATAGTTTGCATATATTTATTCTCGAATCACTCGGTAAATAAATGATATACTTATATAAGTTAGATTTAATTAAAACAAATTTACATAGCGCTTTATCATTTTAAACCTAACATCTATTTTTACATCATTAAGCGATGAGATTACTTCTTAGTTTATATAACTTAAGTGAAATAAGTTTATTATTAGTTAAGTTTAGTATTAATCCTAAGTAAGGCTTAAGTACTTTCACCAAGAGAAAGAAATACAATGAATTTGTGTTAATGAGTGAATTATTTCAGAAGTACCGCGCCTATTTGTATTTTTTGTAAGGCCGATTAATTTGAGGCATTTGGCCTTAGTTCTTCTTCTTTGTTATTTATTTATTTTATTTTCTTAGTTAGTTACGTATTTGTAGACAAAGTCGAACATAATTTTGTATATAGTATCCAAAGATACCGGGTTTCTTGTCATAAATTATGAAAGTTGTTTAAACTCATTTTAGATTCATACTAAAACCTGTTTTATTTTACTAACATTTTAACACGACAAACATATTACGTAATTGGTTGGTTAGATTTAACGAGCGAGTTTTTGATGTCGAATAATTCACCAACCATGAACTGACCATGAATAGACAAAAACAAATTTAATATTGAATAAAAATAATGTTCAGAATGACATGAATAAAAACAACGACAATCATAAGTCTTACTAATGTATGGATGGATGTTTGTTAGAAGGTATTTCCACAACGGCTCAACGGATCTAGATGAGATTTGGCATAGATGTAGAGATAACCTGGAAGAACACTTAGGAATGAAGTTTGTTTTTTTAATTCAGAGCTGACGTAATCGCGCGTCGACTGTATAACATAATAAAATCTCATATAAATATAATATTTAATTGTGCCATGTTATCTACAGAGCGCTGGCAACCTCGCCTAGTTCCACTATCTGACGTATTCCGCGGCGTTCAATTGGCGCTGGAGTCGGCGATGTCGGAACCGCGGACGCAGATCAATGGCGTTATCGTGATACTAGACATGAAAGGCCTTTCTTTCTCACAGGTCATGCAGTTCACGCCCTCCTTTGCCAAAATGGTCGTAGACTGGATTCAGGTTAGTAATGTATAGATAAGGACGATTATTTCCCACCCATTTAGGTGAAAAGTGAGTTGACGCAAGTTTGAAACTTGTCATACATTGTTGTTAAATTATAGTTTGCTCTACGACATTCGATCAAAATTGGGAACTGAATTCAATCCTCTCTTTGTACATTTATCTATGAATTTTGTTTTGGTCAAGCCTACGATTGTAAAATCAAATCGCCATAAGTATTTATTTCTGTTCAGTTCTTTTGATTTTATGATAAACTACTAAAATTAATAGTCGTGTTTTACGAACGTCATGGTTATTGATTACCGGTTGTTTAGAATTTCAATGTCAAACGAACTGCGGTCTAATGGAGTTTTAGATATATAATTTGAGTCAAGTTATTAATCACTGTCTTGCTTTAACGATAGTGTGCTTTTTGTTTCGTTACTTTAAGGCTAGCGATAATAACGATAACGTTAGTTAAGTCTACATAAGTGGATGTTATATTGTTTTATTTTTTTGAGATTTAAACTAAAAGGCCGGCAAATTCATCTGCAGCTCTTCAGGTCCACCAATCACCATAGATAAAATAAAATTAAAAATATTTTTTTCTATTTTTTTGTAATTAGTTGTTAGGCTCTATATAAAAATTGTAAATGCGAATATTAAGCGTAAAATTACTCTCCGTATTCATATTTGCATATCTTAATTAATTATTTACACTTAGTATTATCATCTTCCAGGACTGCATACCAATTCGTCTCAAGGCAGTTCACATTGTGAGCCAGCCTTACATATTCAACATGTTATTTGCGATCTTCAAACCGTTCTTGCGCGAGAAGTTGCGCTCGCGCATCTTTTTCCACGGCTCTGATAAGCAGTCTCTACTCACGCACGTCGATCCTAAAGCTCTGAGGAAACGTCACGGCGGTCTATTGCCTGAGCCGGAGATCAATGGGGAGGTATTATGGAAAATGTTGCATCATTATGAAGAAAATTTCAAAGGTTCGTTACATTTTATATAATATCTTCCAGGAATAGGAATATGGGACTAGTAGTGCCATCTATTGCACTAAAATTATAACTAGCACGAGGATAATTTTGAGCCCTTATTTATCCATGATTAAGTATTTACTATTAAGTAGTAAAAAAAATATGCTCACCCATATATTTTGTTATAAAATAAGATTTAAGTTAATTTTGTTTCTTTTTCAGTTGCTAACTCCTACGGTTACGTGTCAAACAACAATAAGAGATAAAGTCTGAAGGCAGGCAGTGTAAAAACCTCAAAACCACATAAAATTAAAATACTTTAGCTTATAAGGAATAGATTTAAGAATTGTAAACTCATAAGTGTTTTAAAACGACGACAGCTCTCTTGAATCAAATTTTCAGCTCATAGAGATAACTGTGTATTTTATTTTGTTAAATATGCGTCTCGAAATAAATCTTAGATTTTTACTTGACTGTACCATTTATTATAAATATAAAGGGTATGGGTAGATTACTATTATATGTATTTATCACGAAATGCTAAAGATTTTATGACGTATCTAGTGTCTTGTGTCTATTTTTTATATTTGACAATTGAGATTAATAAAAATATATTTAAAAGAACATCACAAAGTCTTTTATAATTAAAACAAATGTTAGTAGGATTTATCCGGAAATAAATGAAAATATTTCAACAATTTTTCGTTTTATTTTATAAAAATATACTGTGATATGACATGTACCTTATATTATTTTTAAAATTGGAATCTTATAACAGATGTATTTCAGTATTTATATTAATATTTACAATGTTAACAATATCAATCAAATTACAACATTTATTTAAAATCCCTGTTCAATGTTATCTTAAAGTTTTATATCCCTTAAAAATAAAATCACCATATACAAAATTACAATCTTAATTATATGTACGTATTATCTAAAAGGCGACTTCTACAAACATAATAATTGTAATTAAAATATAATTTATAATTAAAAAGTTCATAATTCATTTCAAATTAATTTTTATTGGATACATACTTATTATATAAAGTTTAAAATTTTCATCATTTAATCATAAAAGAAAAGTTTGTCTTTTAATAATTTTTAAAACGAAATCACAGCCTTTGTTTAAGTAACAAGAATTTAAGAAGTCAAATTATGTTGTTTTCAATTTATTAAAAATATTCGCCTTTGTTTTACGTTCATCGAAAGATTTTTGTATTTTTATCACAGACATAAATATTATTGGAAATGTACATATGAGATATACATAAATATCTAAGTATATTAAACGTAACGTAAAAATATCTTTCGATTAAAAATGCTTAACTAAAAATCTATATTTCGTTATACAATAATAAAAATATTGTATTAAAAACTTATTTGATTTGATTTGTATTCGAGCTTAGTTTTCTACGACAAACAACCAATATTCATTTAAAATATATTCTAGTTCTTATCCAGTGCTGACAACTAATTGCTATAAAAGTTTATTTCCACACTTTCATAATAAAATAGCAATATAACACATAAAATGAACTTTGCAGAAATAATTTATAATTTTTGAATTGTCAAATTAAAATTGTTTTCGAATTGATTATAAAACATTTTAGTTTACTCTTGAATTGCATATAAGTATTCATTAACTGTAAGATAAAAAATACGATCTATGATTTGTTCAGATATCCTTGAATAGAAATATAACAAAAAATGTTTACAATGTCTTTGTACTAATACTACAAGCAGTAGATAGTTTTTTTAATAAGGAGATATCACATTAGGAAAAAATGCCGTTGTTACTTCTTTTTATAACCGTAAGAATTGATAGCTGAAACAAAAAACATATATTAAATTACCTTTTTTAAAAACACGCTATTAAAATCATTATATCTTCCCGTCCATATTTCAATCACATAGGGTCTATGCACTAGGTTTCGACCTCCACATTCAAATTAATCTATCTTCTGTTAGTACGATTATTACTCCCTTAACCATGTCACTACCCCTGATGTACCTCTCCACATACATATTTAAAAAATTCTTCCCTCCTAATATGCCCATACCATCATCAGCTCACTATACGTCAACACTGAGGTTCTCGGAGCTTATCTTAAGTTAGGGCTGATTAGACCATAGTCAACCACACTGACAGTGTGGGTTGGTTAACTTCACACATATCTTTGAATATCTTCTCAGATATGTGCAGGTGCCCATACCATAAGATGAAATAAAATAACGAGAAATGAAGGGATGTTTATTATTAATTCACTGACCTTTAAATTCTCGGTCGCAGAGTAGTAAAAGTTCCAGCCATTGTGGTCCAGTTACGGGTGGTATAGTTAGAGTGCCGCCGTAGTTGTCCGGAAGACATTTGGGACTAATATGTTTGTATAGCAGTTCTCTGTCTTTGCCCATGAATATGATACGAGAGCGTAACTTCTCCTGTAAGAATGGCTTGAACACTTGGAACACCATGTTGAAGATGAAGGGCTGGTTGATTATGTACAGGCCTTTGACTCGAAGCGGTATACTTTCCTGAAAAAAAAATATTATACATAAAAATATAAAAGAAGAAAGAAAGTGGTATTATTAATCTCAACTGTTTAACCCGAATCTCCAGAGAATATGTTTCTTTTCGCTACCGCCAGCAAAGTTAGTACCGTTAAAAATTAACTGACAAAACTCTTTGGAAATTCAAGATGTTGGAATCTTACTGATATCATAAATGTGAATGATTCGATGAACGGATGGATGGATGTTTGAAAAAAGGTATCTACAGAATGGCTCTACGAATGTCGATGACATTTGGCATGGATATATAACGAAGTCTGAAAGAACACATAGGCTCCTATTTCTTTTTAAAGGAGAAGGGGGCAAAAGAGCAACGGATCGCCTGAAATTATTTGACCCGACGCCCATGGACATCCGCAACGCCGGAGAAACCGTAGATGCGTTGCCAGCCTTTTTTTAAATTTCGCGTGAAAGGAGTCGCGAGACAACTAGTAAATAAATAAAATAGTCAAATGAAGGACGGTCAATTCAAAAAAGATGTATAAACAATTTCATAAAATTAATAAAAATATTCTTCCGTGTCATATAGTTGTTGCTGTATTGTGCAATCAGTGCAGCGTAGCGCCGCGTGTAATTAGCGCAGTGTGTCACTGCCACGGACGTTAAATTGTGCTCTAAGCATTGTTCTAGCACAAATAATTAGCTAATTGCTTTACGCTCTTGAGTTATATGATGAATTATGTTGGCAAAAATATTTATCATATAATAATATTTACTATATATTAGCAAAGACCTTAAACGAACTATGTAGCAATCAAACACCCACACACCCTCAGGTTATCTTAAAAAAATGCATTTTTTATGTTACACCTACATCTTACTAATATTATAAATGCGAATATTTAGATGGATGGATAGATGGTTGCCTGAAGGTATCTCTAGAACGGCTCAACGGATCTTGATGAAAATTGGCATAGATGTAGAACATAGTCTGGAAGAACACATAGGGTACTTATTATGTTTTATTATTGATAAAATCATATACCTGTAGCCAGTCCACGATCCTCTTAGCAAATGGTGGCGTGAACTGCCAGACCTGCTGCATGCTGAGTCCGTCCATGTCGAAGATGACGACCGCGCCACACACTTGCGTCTCCGGTTCCAGCATCGCGCCCTCCAAGAACAGTACGCACCCCTTGAACACCTCATCCAACGAACATTTGTTGTGCTTCCATTTTTCTGAGAAAAAAAACAAAAGCTAAGAACAGGAAGCGCCAATAGCCTAAAGGTTAAGGGATCATGATCATGTAAGTTCGAATCCGCCGTTGGACTTTTGTCGTTAACCATATCCTAGCACAAACCGAGAGCTTAGTTAGAAAGGTTATGAGGATTCCAATTTGAATAATAAACAGAAGAATAAACAAAAAATGAAACCACTTAAACTTCAATTAGTTGAGAACAAACAAAAAAATCTGATATGGCAATTTAGTTAAATAGTAATTTGGTCGACAGATTGCACTAATTTTAAATAAATTGTTCCCACAATTTACATAAAAAATCAAATTTGTATCCGTAATCAAGGTTAATCATTTTGGTTTAAATTGCGTATTTTTTGTATTTCATATAAATAATAAAAAATTGAAAAACGTCGCTCGTAATTCTTTTAAGTCGAACAATGAAGATAAAAAAGTTGCGAAGTATAACATTAAATTTAGTACTTAATTGTTTTAAGTTATGTAAGTAAGGTTCCGGTTTATAAGATCTTATCATGTAATTATTGGACTTATAATTATAAACATACAAATACAAATGTATAAATTACATAAAATTTATAACTTAAACACCCACACATTCCAATTGCATCTCACTTAACGTGGTACGTCATAGTTGATTTAGTTCGCATCTCGTGGTGCCCATAAACGTACATCGAAAGTCAGCTGGTTAACTTAAAGGTCAAAGTGATAATTGTAAGTAACAGTCACATATTATGTTCTACATAATTAAATCATACATTAACACGACAGCGTTTATCAGCATTATTAGTTCAATAGTGACGTCTAGTGAAATCTATATCAATTAGTAGTACATGACAATTTGTCTGCATAAGGTCAAAGTCACGGTTACCAATATGATCCGTAGTCTAAACTGGTGTCATAGCATATCGTAGTTTTTTTGTTTTTTTCTAAGCCTCCTAAAAGAAAGACCGGTGAACTGATCATAGTTTCTGGTCATGGATCATGGTTCTGACTGTGTTTATGTTCACCAGTGGCAAGTCTTGATTAAAAAGAAAGACACTATTACCGAGCCTCAAAAAAGTGAGATACGTATAAAAAAGAGAAGGATATAGCCTTAAAGAGAAGTTGTGGTGAGGGAACGAATATAGGATATAGTTAACTCACTGCCTAATTCCAACACAAGCACTCGTCTTCCGAACTGATCTCTTGTGGGTAGCACTGTCAGTATGTTTTGGTTGAAGATGTTCTGTTCCTTGCTCGGAGTCAAACCCTCGTAATGTGACTGATGTTTCACTTTGAACGAGTAGTAACGTTTTATCTGAAAATAACGAATATTCTTTAGTTGGTTTAAGTGATTCTTGACTTTGCTTGAACTTTGTGGATCTCATTAATAAAGAAGGCCATCCGATGTAAAATGTAAAGTTACCCATGCTCACAGGTAGCTGTAAAAATTAAAAAGGTTGCACATGCGTTGTATACTTCTAATAGCGGGGAGAGGACAGAGAGTAAAGATATTACTTGTGTGTTGTAATCAACAAAAAAACTTACCAGATCATATGCGCTTTCAGGGTAAAACTTGCAGGGTCGCAAGAATCTGATAAGCCACGCTTCACTATGTAAAGGTACGTGTAGGTCTTTGTCATCTGTGGAAAAGATATTCTTGTAGAAACGCAAATACGATAGCATATTTGTAAACAATTAACCGTACATTGTCGTCAGCTCAGACATACTTGTCCTCTCCGAGATGCTCGGAGCCATGTTAGGGATGACTAGGCCGTAGTCAACAACGTGGGCGAGTGCAATTTGGTTAACAAAAAATTATGTCTTTGAGTTATTCGCAGATATATGCAGATTGCATTAATATGTTTTCTTGTACCGCAAGAATTTATGATAAATTTAATAAAAAAACACTGTTTATTTGTACAGCATAAAAACTATATACCTAGCCACTGCGGTGGCCTATGCTTGTACGTTTTATTGTGTTTGCACTGGACAAAGACACCAATCTTCCTAGCAAACAAGTTTTTGTACTCCCGTCGCGTCATCAATTGCCAAAGATGCTATTGAAAATTTGTTTTTTATTCCATCAATTAAAGACGCATTTATTTTCGGCAAATGACGCCAATATTTATTTATATTTTTCTCTTCATATTTGTTGTGGCGTATATTGTTCAAATATTAGCTAAGAAACTTTTTCATACGAGACAGACAAAGGACAGTTTCATCATTTTTTTTTGACATCACAAAATGAATATTAATGAACATCGTGCATGCAAGCCACCTATTGTTCCTGAAGATATGTTATTTACTTTTAAACATCTAATACTTTTGACTTGACACTGGAAATGTTGTTTTTGACAATAGAGGTCGAAGAGTAACGATTATCACGAATACGATTTATTCTTAGTATTGTGTACTAAGTTATGTAATATGTATTTATCGAAATTCATAATTTATTTTTATTTCTCAACTTAAATATAAAATAGGCGCAAAGATTCGCTTCTCGTATTGCATTCCGAGAAGCGTTTTTTTACTTTGTTGTCTGCTCACAGGGATATTCCCTGTTAATAAAACCTGTTAAACTTCTCTCGATATTTTTCCATCCATGCATCTACGCATTACCTTAGGTTACTCTTAATGTCACCGAGCTTAAGTAACCGTGGGTTTCTGACACCAAAATCTCCGTATAAAACATATCGTCATCCCTGTCTTTTATCTTTATAAAACAGAGAGAATCAATTTACAAGAAGAGAAGATTTAAGAGAATCAATAAACAATTAATTTATATCTTAATCACTTATGAGCACAACCAGCACCACAAATATTACTGCTGTTGCTGACATTTAAATGCTTTTGAGATTTATTTCCATAGCAATCACGGCTAGAATATTTCAGCCAATGGGAATGGTACATTGCCTAAAAACAGTAATCCGCATCCCTTTACGTATGCGACACCTAAGTTGTGTCCTGCGCAGCGAGCGAATTTTCGCAATGTGTGAAAGATTTTATTTACCTTCTAGGAGTTTCTTCAAGTCTTCGATGGCATGTTTGACAACTTCAGGCGTCTCACGCAGCTCCCGGCGTGCGATTTCCTGCACCGATTCGCTGGGGTCGTCCAGCTCGATCTGCAGCAGGAAGTCGCCCAGTTGCACTGCTGGTAGTGTCGTCACATCAGAGAGCATATGCTTCGATACTGCAACAAACAAATATAATTCCTATAATTATATGAAAAACAATTATAATTGCGTGAATATTTACGTACGCACGAGTGTAGCTTCCCAACAGTGAAAGAATTTTTCAAATTGGTTTAGTAGTTTCGAAGTCGATTCAGTACAAACAAACTATCAAATATTTCCTTTTTATAATATTAATATACTTGGGTACCATCCCGAATGTCGGAAAAGAACGAATATGAGTTAAAAAGCAAATCAGTCAACTTTAATTTCATTTTACAACTTGTATAAGTCAAAGAACCTAAATAAATAGATGTTTTCATTATGACTATTTAACGCTATATTTGAATAACAGTAGGTATACAAAAGTAACACTTCAGTGCAAATTAGAAAACGTCAGTCCAAGCAAAAGGATTATAACTGACGTTTTTATAACTGTTTTATAAAAACTCAATGTTATTACTGTTACCGTTGTTTTTCTGACCAAAATCTCTGTATGTAACATATCATCCCTCTCATTATCTTTAAAAAAATAGAGATACCATTATGTTGTAAAAAGTGATTTTAGTCTCAGAAAACCACCGTTATTATAGTCTTCTGTGTATTTCTTATTAATTATTGCTTGCCTTAAAAATGAAGATTAATTTTTTAAGAACGTTTTTATTAAACTTTACATTAGGTACGAAATGGATAAAGGTTACAAACAAGCTTTACAAAATTGAAAACGTTTGGATTGTTAGATTAATGACGAAATAATTGTACAAACTGGTGCAATATTATTCAAAAATAATTGCTCGATGTATGAGAGCATAAATACAATGGGTGTAAGTTGCCTTCGGCGCGTATATTTTAGGTCAAAGATCAATGTAAATTAAATAAAAAATTTATCGTTATTTTGCTATTTTTATTCTTCTACATTGTCAATTGGTAAACAAACATTATGTTTTTATGTTATATGCGAAAACTTCGTATAAAACAATTATCTTTTAGATAATAAAGAATCAAAGAAGTATCTATACAGGTCACCCTACGTTGTGTTGGTTCCCTGCTTCACCTATCTGCCTCTTCATTCAATTTTTTATGTAATTTCTGCGTATACGATTTTGAGTAAAAATTTAAATACTTATCAGACATTAGTACATTATATTAGAACTACGAAAACTTTTAACTCCGATACCTACCTTGTTTAATGAATGGAAGATAATCAGTGGAAACTATGCCCTACACCCTCGTATTTTAATCACAAATTTTATTGATATAAGTTAATTTAGAAAAATTTCTTTCATTTATCACCTTGTAATTATTTTACGGTCTAATTTCTAAACTTGAATGGTAAAAGTTATATCCTTTATTATAAATAGATTTTTATGCCTTTTTATAAATAGATTTCATTCTAAAAATCAAAGTACATTAAAAATTTTCCAAAAATTAAAAAAAAAATGTGTTTTTGTATTTAATAAACAAACTATGTAAACTATCGTGATTTTTCAAATACAGATTGTAAAGAATATAATAAAAAACATATAAACACCTACCTTTATCCATTGCAATTGTATATTTCGTAATTATGAAGTTAAAAATAAACACAATTTTGATTAATGCATACGTATGGTGAACTCGTGTAGTGTCTTGTAACTACGATAGTACGAATATGACTAACCAATGAATAACGACCGAGGCTTTATGTATATGGATATCGCACGCTATGGTAGCCATGTATTTTGGGAAATGAGGAATTTTCCCAGTATATATTTTTGACTACTATATATTTTTGAACTGATTCAACTATGCTAAAGAATTTACTAGGTTATTCACAGTATTTTTTCTAAGCATGCCGAGTCAAAGATATGACCGAAGATATGATGAGAATACCGCCAACAACATAAATGTAAATACTGTATACAATTTATAATAATCAAAACCTAAAGAACACGACTGTCATTTGTTACAGGAGTAGTCCGAAGTTTTTTTTGTTACAATGTTATTATACTACTGCCGATGTTGGTTAGGTTTTTTCTATGTTTATAGTTTTTAGGTCTTGTTGTGGAATAAAGCATAGAAGAAAAAGGGTTTTTTTTCGATCTTTACAATGGATTAATAATTTGATTTATCTCAGATTATAGATCCATATTATTATTCTAGGGTTAGTAACAGATTAAAAACTAATGTTAGTACAAACAATATAAAAATTGCATTGCTTTTTATATATCTTTTTTTATTTTCTATTTCACGATTACCAATAATTCCGGCTTCTTTATGCTTTGCAGTTTTTTCACAAGATGAATGGTCATCATGACGATGCAGTCAAATAGTTGATGTTTTGATATTTTTCTGTTTTTTTGTATGTAGTTTACCAATGATTAATTAACATCCAGTCTTAGCAACTAGTCAAGGCCAAGATAACACTTATTAAATTTTATAACCAATTTAACTCAATGTATGTATGTCTGGTACAAAACCACAAATATGAATCTAGTAAAAAATTCAAGATTTTATGATACTTTAAATAAAGTAGGTATATATGTGATATAGCTGTCACTCGCGACTCCGTCCGCGCGGAAGAAAAAAAAATTAATTAGTAGCCTATGTGTTCTTCCAGACTATGCTAGTACTGCCAAATTTCAGCAAGATCCATGCAGCCGTTCTGGAGTTGCCTTCAAACAAAGATCCATCCATCCGTTTTATAATATTATTAAGTAGTAAGATTTGGTTATCCGGGCGCCAAAAGTGAGGCAAAAAGGCCTCTGAAGTCTTTTTAACATCCCAATACGTATTATCGTTATTCATATCGTTATATGAAATAGAGATAACATAATGTTTTTGTGTTTGTGCAGTATTTTTAAGCAAGCGAAATTCACGGTAAGCATTTTTTAAATTTGAGATTTGCGACGCCATCTAGTGATGATAGGTGGAATCAACTGAGAAACTTACTTTGGTATTATTTACTCTCACCGCTAGATGTCAGAATTTAATAAATTTATTAAAATTGACGTGAAAAATTATATTAAAAAATATATGGTTTCCTGCATTATCTTGCATTTCTTATAACAAAAAGGAAATTTTAATATTTTTGTGTTTACAATGTAAGTGTAACACAAGCTTTTATTTTTTTTAATTACACACAAACGACGTAGCTAGTATTAGAAAAAAAAACTTTCACTGTTTTTTATAGCTTTAGATTTAGAGGACAAGTTTACTTTAGGCACGACTGTCTACAATTCGTGACGTAATACACAACCATACGACTTGAACTAGGAAATGTAGGCGTAGTTTTCTGTATAATGAATATTTTAAACATATTATATCCTTGAAATTACAGGTTAATTGGATTTGACACTATCCCAAAAAGGCCATGGAACTATGGTAAGTATAATATGGAGCTAGAAGCAAGAACAATTCTATTTTTACTTACAATACAGGCACATATTGTAAAGTGTAATATAAAGTCTCCTGTTTGTGTATGAAAATTAGTGAAAGTGATATAAAAGAGATTTGCCACTGGTGAATGACTTAATAATTTTCGATTAATAAAAATTAAAACCCTTAGTATTTTACTTATAAAATTGATAATATTCAAAACCATAAACAATTATGATATGACGTCAGTATAAAATATAGACAACCGGTAAGAAATAAGATCTATTAATGACACTTGGCAATAAAATACTAACTACAGTGTTGCGCACACGCATACATATAAATAAGTTATTTATATTCGAAGAAACATTTTATAAAAGTAGAAAATAACAATTAGTATCAAAGACTTAAGTCTGTTTGATTACTTTCAGTTGAAGTTCAAAGTAAAAAAGTCTATATTTGGTAATAATGATGAAAGATCGTAATATAAATCTGGGGGCTTAGCACGAAAAATAGCGAGAAAGTATTCGTAACGTCATCAATAGTATAAGATTTGTCGGTGCACATTGCGTCAATAATCTATCGCCCGCTGCACAAATCTAATACAAATGTTGCCGATGATATTGCAAATACTTTCTCGCACTTTTTCATGCTAGGCCCTTAGTACTACACAATGATATTTATTGTTCTATCGTTCACTTCTCGAACACTTTATGTGCGGCATTTCTTAACGTTTTCATTATAGACGAACAAAGGCTAATAGCGTTCAGAAAAGTTAAACAAAGAAGAATTTAAATAGTTATTAATCAAAAAGTATAAGTATATAGAAAGAAGTTATTCTTTATTTGGACGGATATATATGTATTGTTTGTTTTGGGAATTTATTTCAAAACATATAATTTTAGTTGTTTTAAGCCACTTTATTATCTTGCACATCATATTTGTGATATATTAAGGTAAAACGTAGAAGCACTTAGTGATAATAAATGCAAAAGGCGAAGCATTCAACACAGTGATGACTGCACATGTTTGGCTCGCTTCCAAATAGGGCCGGTTAATGAACGATTACACGTGGCCATAACACCGCAATGCTTTCCTATTGCTTATGTTCCTCTATTTATACCAATCAGCCGTGTGAGGTCACGGACAAACGTTCTTTGATAAGTTTTAATCTAGAATTCTATGCAAAACTCATCACAGACGCATATAAGAAAATTGTTTTCATACCGTGGATTTTCACTCACTGCCTAAGATACATGGCGACAAAAATACAAACGTTGATTCTTACAACTCTCTGATAATTTAAGGTAAACGCCGACTCGACAACTCCCCAGCCCACACGGCAAAGCTCTGCTTCGTGGTCGCACGGAACGGGACAAAGATGTTGGTTAGCTATGTCATTCACGCTTGCATGAGTGGACGTCGGGCTCTTATTTACTTGCGATATGGCTCTGCGGTCTGGTCGATGGCGAGTGTACATCTAGCCGACGCCTCGCTAACCACGGTCGGTGATCCAGACTGCGCGATGTCAACCCATAGAAGTGAAAATGGGTTATTCAAATTTTATATCTTTAGACAAGGAGTAGAGCAATGAGCGTTTACCTTCAATATCTAGACGACGAGACAAAATATCCGGTTTTTGAACTTTTTTAAATTCCAAATG